CATGTGTGTTATGCGCATGTGTGTATTTGTATGTATGTGTGTATGTGCACCTGCATGTTCATGTGTATGTGTGTATGCGTATATGTATGTGTATGTGCATGTGCATGTGCATGTGACTGTGCATGTGCATGTCTATTCATGTACGCATGCATGAATGTGTGTGTATGTAGGTACGTTGTTTTTCATGTCCGTCTGTCTGTCTGTCTGTCTGTCTGTTTGTCTGTCTGTAAGTATACACGCACCTATGTATGTATTCATGTATGCACGTAACTATAGTGAGATCGACTGAGGCAACGATAATATATGTTCGATGGATGGGCACAGCAGTCCCGATGGTTATCCCGTCGTCGGTTCTACCCCCAAACTTCTTATCGGCCTTTTGGCTAGTCTCATAGGCATCATATCATATCCTCGCATTCGGTAGCACCACACATTGCCTAACACTGCGCAGCATAACAGATCATTGCATGGCATTGCGTATCATCCTATGGCCTATCAAGCCATTACATTTCATATCCCATCATGGCGCACTTCATACAATTGCACGTCACAGCACAAAATACACGTCATCGCATATGGTTGCACTGCGTACCACTACTTGGTCGCACACACGTGGCTACGCCAAAAAGTGGCAAGCAACGCAGCGCAACGCAGAACAGCGAAACGCCAGGCAACGCAAGCACAGTGCCGCGAGAGGCCCGAGCACGCCGCGCGCCCCAGGGGGACCCCAAGACGCCCAGGAGCCGGGCCCCCCATCGGGGCGCGCGTCGCTGGGGCTCAGCGCTGACGGGGTTCCGCGGGGTTCCCCGGGGGCTGACCCCTGTGCGGAAGCCACGCGGGGCCGATGCCCCCCTGCCCTCCCTGCGCTGACCTGCGTCTGGGAGCAGCTCCGTGGTCGGCCCAGGTTCGCGTCGCGGCCCTGGCTGCTCCCCGTTTCTTTACTGCTTGGGGCATGACGGGCGTCATGGCCCCCGGCCCACCCCCCTATGACGTAACGCTCCCCCCCCCAGTGCGTTCTGGGCACTGCCGCCGTGCGCATCGTGATCCGCACAGGTGTCCGCATACGAATCCGCATAGGAGTCTGGTCCGCAGTCGTCGTCGTCGTCGCCGTCGTCGCCGCCGTCGTCGTCGTCGTCGTCGTCGTCGTCGTCGTCGTCGTCGTCGTCGTCTTCGTTGTCACTCGTCGCTCGTCGCTCGTCGCTCATCGTCGTCATGCGCGCAGGCGCACCTGGAGCTTGTTTTTTTTTTTTTTATTCCGGGCCGATGACGGCAATCATCTGAGGGGGGGAGGGGGCCGATGACGTCACGTTTCGCGCCGGCGGCGTCTGGGAATGCCTGGGAATCACCGAGGACGGGTATAAGCAGCATGTCGGTGGCGATCTGCACCACAACGCCTGTGGATGCCATTGTGCTTGCGTGCGCCACAGCGCCTGTGTACACCACACCGCCTATGTACCTCCGCAGCAGCCGCGTGCATCACAGCGCCAGTGTGTGCCACAGTGCCTGCTGGCACCACAGCGCTTGCGTACACCACATCAGCCGTGCGCAACACAGCACCAATGTACACTACAATGCCTGCGTGGATTCAGCACGGCACCAGTGAATAGACCATTCTGCGGTGCACGCTGAAACGCGCACGTGCGCTGTAGTGCCGACCCGCACGACAGGGGGGAAGGGTGAGGGAGGAGGACGAGGAGGACGAGGAGGAGGAGGACGACGAGGAGGAGGAGGATTAGGAGGAGGAGCCGGAGGTGGAGGAGGGAGGAGGGAAAAACGTCGCATTCTATTATCAGCATTTCCTTGGCGTGGCGTTTAGCTGTCCGCAGCAGGTCCTCACCGACATCCTCATTCTACCTGTCCTGCGCACGCAGGCACTCTGGTGTACGCCAGCGTTGCGTTGCACGCGGATGCTGTGGTGTAGACAGGCGCTGTGGTGTGCACAGGCTCTGCGGTGCACGTAAGCATTGTGGTGTAGATAGGCGCTGTGTTGCACATGGCTGCTACGCCGTACACATTCTCTGTGGTGTACACGGGCGTTGTGGTACACGCAAGCGCTGTGGTGTACACAGGCGCTGCGTTGCACACGGCTGTTGCGGTGTACGCAGGCGCTGTGGTGTACACAAGCGCTGTGGTGCACGCGAGCACTGTGGTGTACACAGGCGCTGTGGGGCAGATCGCCACCTACATGCTGCTCGCGTCGTCGTCGTCGTCGTCGTCGTCGTCGTCGTCGTCGTCGTCGTCGCTCGTCGCTCGTCGCTCGTCGCTCGTCGCTCGTCGCTCGTCGTCGTCGTGCGCGCGGGCGCGGCTGGTGCCGGAGCCGCACGGCGGGGGGGGGGGGCGTTACGTCATCCCCCCCCGCCCCCCCCATGACGCCCGCCATCGCCGAGGATGAAGAAACGCGCTCCTGGCAGCGCCGGCCTGGGCGGGCTGGCGCGCCCCTGACCCAAGCCACGAGAGGCCGGGCGCCTCGAGCGACCCGCTGGGGCCCAGGAGCCAGGGGCTTTCAGGCTGCCACCACCGAGGCCTCCGCACCGAAGGAGCAGGGAGCCCTCCGGCGAGTACTGTGCCTGAAGGCAGCAGGTTTCCACGGGCTGTGGCAGTGGCCTCCCCCTGGGCCTCTTGGGGCCTCTCCTGGGGCTCCTCGTGTGCTTCCTGGGGCCTTCTCAGGCCTCTTACGATGGTTTCGAGGTCTCTTTTCCTGGCGGTCTGCTGAGAGCGCGCTCGGGTCGTCTCGGGGCCGCCTTGAGGAAGGTGTCGCCCGAACACCCCTATGAGCCCCCAGAGTAGCTCGGCCACCCCCTGCCTCGAATTAGCTTGTTTTCATATCTAGCCAGCGCTGCGCGCCCTGGGCGGACATCTAGCAGCTCGCTCCTGGAGGGTCGAGCAGCTCACTGCACTTTGAGGCCTGTCACGCCTTAGGAGCATCCGAGGGCGTCATCCATAGCAGAATTTCTTGTGAGGTGGCCTGCTTGCGAGCGACTGCCAAAAGCCAAGGCACCGACAAATTGCCGCACTCGCGGTCCGTAGCTCTCGCTGCTGGCATGGCGCGATTGCATGCCCCCCCCCCCAGCTTGCGTGTTCACAAATATCTTTCCTAATCATCGACACCGAGGCTAACTAGAGTTTAGGGACTTTTATTTGCCATCCAGTGCTCGTGACAAGGCGTCTATCACGCTAGGCTTCCTTTCTTCACAATGGTAGTGTTCTTCAGGAGTCGGCGCTCCAGGCACCCGCGTTGGACGCCGATGCCAGGCATGGCGCAGTAGCGCGAAGGCACTTGCTCTCTGACTCGAACTCGTGTGCTGGCTCGGAGCATCAGGGACACTTTCGCGCAACCGCGTTCGCGCGCTGGCCAGCTCGTGTTTCGGGTCTGCGGTCCCGCCTCCGCTCAGAGGGCTGTGGGCGTACAGAGAGGAGTCCGTGTCGGGGCTGGGGATGCCGAGCAGAAGCGAGCGCAACTGCGCGTTGCAGCTCCAGTGGGGCACCAGCAGCTCGGCGCGCCGCACGATCTCCATCGTTTTTTGGCAGCGGTCGCCGCCTCGGCAGCATCTGCCCGGCGCGTGCACGTTAGCTGCCTACGATTCGAGGGTCCTCGGCTGCCTAGAGTCCGGCTGGCATGTTTGCCTGCTCGCTGGAGGGGGAGAGGAGGGAGAGGGGAAGGGGGGAGGGGGGACAGCAAGGGGGGAGGGTAGGAAGGGGGAAGAGGGAGGCAGGAAGGATAGCTTCATCCTGCCTCTCCCCTGTCTGAGAGCCCATCCAGAATGCCCCGCCCACAGCGGCCTGGGATTATCCCAGGGGGGGATCGATCTCTTCCGCCAGGCATGAGCTCGGGCAGATCGGGGACTTGAAAGGCTTCGTCTCGCAGTGGTGGCGTGCCCACTCTGCACCCTGCATGGGATGCTGGCTTTCTGCCTTAGCGTTAGCGGTCGCGACATTGGCAGAACAGACTCTCGGCCTGAGCATCGCCGTGGAAAATTGAGGGCGTCATATGTGGTGTCGCTGCATGATGCTCGAGGTTCCCCATGGCGTAGCCTCGACCCCTACATGCGGAACACGAACTACCAGCAAACTCGCAACAAACAGGTTACTTTTCCAGTGGCCTTCGGCCCATCCCGCCACCGCGTGGCCTCTTGCGCGGTCTTGGAGCGTCGGGAGCACGACAAGGCGAGAACACTTCGTCCTTCCACACCACGGGCCGTGCCGGAGCCCTCCTGGGCGTCTTGGGGCGATCCTGGGGGGCGACTCGGGGCGCCCTGGAGCCCTCTTGTGAGGCCCTCGGGGCCCGGAAGATGTGTCCTCCTCCTCGTTCTCCCCCACTCCCTCCTCGTCCTCCTCCTCTCCTCCTCCTCCCTCCTCCTCCTCCTCCTCCTCCTCCTCCTCCTCCTCCTCCTCCTCCCCTCCCCCCTCCTCCTTCCTCCTCCTCCTCCTCCTCCTCCTCCTCCTCTCCTCCTCCTCCTCCTCCTCCTCACCTTCTCAGAGGCTGGGAGCGCCGCGAGGCCTCCCTGGCGCACCCTCACGGCCATCTCTGGAGGTTCCCGGAGGTCCCCGTGGGCCGGTGGAGGTCCCCAAGCGGCCTGCGGGAGCCTCCGGAAAAAGGACCAACAACGTCCGAAAGCCTCGTCTGCGCCGCCGCCGCCGCCGCCGCCATCGTCGTCGTCGCCGTCGTCGTCGTCGTCGTCGTCGCCGTCGTCGTCGTCGTCGTCGTCGTCGTCGTTGTCGTCGCTGTCGTCGTTGTCGTCGTCGCTCGTCGTCGTCGTCGCTCGTCGTCGTCGTCGTCGTCGCTCGTCGTTGTCGTGGTCGCCGTCGCTCGTCGTCGTCGTCGTCGTCGTCGTCGTCGTCGTCGTCGTCGTCGTCGTCGTCGTCGTCGTCGTCGTCGTCGTCGTCGTCGTCTTCGTCGTCGTCGTCGTCGTCGCTCGCCGCTCGTCGCTCGTCGCTCGTCGTCGTCGGCGTGCTCGTCGTCGCCGCCTCGGGCCCTCTCGGCGGGCGCGCGCGCGCGCGAGGCCCGCAGTGCGCCCTCACCGACCGCACGGAGGCCAGGCCCCACAGCGAGGCGCGGCGGGGGGGCCCCAGCGCAGGCCACCGGGCCCACCCCCGCGCGGCGGGGGGTGCGGCTGGGGGGGGGGTTAGGAGCTCCCCGAGGGGGGGGGGACAACAACAAGTGACTACTGCGCAACGCCTGCACAATCACCACGTTTTTTATCCCGGGTGCGAGGTCTGGGGGGTTCCCGTGAGCACCTCGTCTGCCGCGCGCCCTTTGCCGCCTGCTCATGAGGCGGCCACCGAGGGGGGGGGGTAGGAACTCCCCGAGGGCGGGGGGGTTGGGAACTCCCCACGCGGCGGGGGGTGCGGCGGGGAGGGGGGGGGGCTAAGGACTCCCCGAGGGGCCTCATGGGATCCAGACGCGCCCCCCAAAGCCTCGGGCGATCGCAAGCATCGCAAGCATGGGGAGGGCACCTCCCCCGATCCATGGATCTGGCGACCGCGCGCCAAGTCCATGGATCGTGAAATCCACGTTTGCGCGCCCCCGAAAACCCTGAGATCTGGGTGTTGCAGTGTCTCGCAGCGAGCTTTCTCGCCCCGTTTCCGGCCAGGGGCTCCTGCAGATCGATCTGGTCGGAAAAGTGCCGCCGAAAGACGGGGTCTGGGGCTCCAGTAGCGGCTTTTGCGCAGTTGCAGTCTTGTTCGCGGCGTCGGATCCCAGGGGATCCCAGGCCCCCAGATGCGGGCCTCGCCTTCGAGGGCCTTCGAGGGCTCCGGTAGCGGTTTTTGCGCAGTTGCAGTCTTGTTCGCAGGCCCCCAGGTGCGGGCTTCGCCTGCGGGGGCCGAAGCACGTGGCGCCCCTTCTTAGAGGCGGGGGGCCGCGGGAGGGCGGCGGGCGCCGGCGGGAGCAGAGCGGTGGCAGGTCCGTCGGCGGAAGGCCGGCCGGACGTCGGACTCCGATCGCGCCGCGCTGTTTGCTCGGCAGTCGCTCGGACGTGTGCATAATAATAATAATCCCCACCAGGAAGAAGTGCACACGTGCGAGGTGCGGTGCGGTCGGGCTCCGATCGCGCCGCGCTGTTTGCTCCCGCACGCCCGGGCCCCCGAGGCCCGCCCTGGAGTGTGTCGTTGGGGGGGGGCTCGCAAGTGATTCGGGGGCCTGTGAGTTCTGCGGGTGGGTCTTGCCCACAATCCAGCTTGCCCGAGGGTGCGCGCGCAGGCTGGGCAGTTGTCTAGACAAGGGCTCCCTCGAGGGCGCGAAGTTATTCGCGCTTCGCGCTTCGCGGTCCTCGTTCCTTCTCCCCCTCCTCCTCGTCCTCCTATTCTCCCTTTGGGGAGGCGGCGCGAGGGCGCGAAGTTATTCGCGCTTCGCGCTTCGCGGAGCGCGAAGCGCGAAGTTGGGAGCCCTAGGGTCTTGCCCACAATCCAGCTTGCCCGAGGGTGCGCGCGCAGGCTGGGCAGTTGTCTAGATGGACGGGCTGCTGCCCGAGAGGGCCGTTTGGGGGGGCTCTCCCTGGGCGCGGGCAGGCGACGGGGAGAGCTGAGCGTTGGGCTGTCAGGCAGGCGTTGTTTCGTGCTCCGCGCGCGCAGTCCACTGTGTCGGGCCTTCAGGCCACGGTGAGAGAGCGCAGCTCTTGGGAACCTGAACTTGCGCTCTGGGAGTTTCGGAGGATACTGGCATTTGAGCTGGCATCTTTTTAGGATTTTGGAGGGCGCCCCCAAACAAAAATCTTCGCAGCCCCCTGCCCGCCTCGTGCTGGATGAGGCTCTTGATGGCACTTGGAAAATGGGCCGTCATCCTTTTTTGGCTGACTTCGTTGCGAAGATCGGCTCGTCGCCCCACTTCGCTTTGGAGGGGTATTGTCAGGCCTTGGCAGGTGAGTCCCAGCATTATAATAATACGTTCAAGTTTTTGGGATGGGCAGCGCAGGGAATCCTGCAGTCTCGCAGGTGGACTGGTGAGGATGGTATGGTGCCCGTGTCTCGTCAGCCCTATCGCCCCCCCATCCTGTCCTTCACCGGCCGCCAGGTCTGGCACCTTAGCTCGCTAGGCGAGTGGAGGTGCAGGCAGTGTGGATTTTGGGCCATGTGCGAGGCGTCTCTCAAAGCCATGCGGACGTAGAGAGCCACTCGCGACTGTTCGCCCTGCCCAGTGCAGCATGCGGCCACCCGGCCTTGGTTTCGGCACCATGGGGACTCTGACTCGGCTAAGCCGCCAGAGTCGCGGTTGATCTCGCCCGTGAGTTTGACCTTGAGGTGCCCCAGGAGGCACCCGCTCCCCCGACGCCAGAGGCAACTGGGCCCGAGCGTCTCCCAATGTTTGAGAACCTGGGGCACAGCGCGTTTCAAGTCAGGGGCCATTCTTGTTGTCGCAAAGGCGGGGCCCACGGGGCCGCGGGCAATGTCGTGAAGTTGGCGGACCACTGTCGTGGAGTTGCTGGCAATTCCTCGACGCGTGTCAATCAGAGGCAGGCCATTCGCAGGATGGAGCGCCGCTCGTACCCCACAAAAAGGCGTGAATGTTCATGGCTCTGCGCCGTTGCCTGGCCCCCCCTGGTCCTCGTCTTAGGCCCGGTGGGCCCGTGTCAGTGGGATCTTCATGTATTTGACGATATAGAAAACTAGTAATATACGACCATACGTTATAGCAGAATTGTCTTAGACGACAAAGGCAAATTTTCAATTTATACCGCCGTGAGTGGGATCTTCGCGCGGCGAGGATGACGGCGCCCCGATGTCGGAGAGGCAGCAGCTCAGGAGAGTCGTTGCCCGGCTGCCTGGCGGATTGTTCTCGGGGTTATGATCAGACTCGTTTGAATGTTTTTCCTTTGGGCCCCGCCCCCGTCGTCGTCGCCCGCCCGCCCCCCCTCCCCCGTCGCACGCGTCTACTGCTTCGGTGTGGCGTCGCCGCTGGAGGGCAAGGCGGGGCGGTCTAGACGCGTGGGGGGTTGGGCCGCGCCTCCGCCCCTTGCAATGACAGGCGGGCGTGGCTTCTGGACTTGCACCATCTTGTGCCACCACCTCAGGGTTTGCCCCATAGGTGCTGGCGCGATGGCTCGCTCCTCCTCCTCCTCCTCCTCCTCCTCCTCCTCCTCCTCCTCCGCCTCCTCCTCCGCCTCCGCCTCCGC